CAATATGCAAACCGGTGACAGCTCATGTTTAAGGGAGGCACCCAAATTGGGCAGCTGTCCGATACAAAAAAACAACAACCACCTACTAGAGTTTACAGTCCAGGATTCCGCCCCCCCCCAGCTCACCACCTTCTACACAAGCCTTCCAGATAAAGATATTCCCTGGCCTGCTTTGAACAAACTTAAAAAGTTCACTTTATATTGTCATAACAGACGTTCAGCTAAATGCCAACTTGGAAAGGGAGAAAAAGCCAGTCTAGAATTGCCGTTTATGGACGGGAAGGGGGGGGGGTAGGCGGGAGGGGAAGAATTCCCCAGAAGAGTATTATAGAGGAGGCAAAGAGAGGGCAAAACTCAGCATTTCTCTTTCATGTTTGGGGGGGGGGGAGGGCGAGAGAGAAATCTATTAACCCCCGCATCGACATAACACAATCCATCCTGGATATGGAATGCGAGAGGGCGGTTTGACAGCCCCGCGCAGCCCCCTCCGCCAGGATTGATTTACGCCTGCCCTGACGCTTTATCAGCCTCACGAAAAAAGTTTGACCAATCATTTTGCTGGAAGCTCCCAGCCCGGCAGTCCCGACTGTACTTTTTCTTGGCTAGGGAAGTTGAGGCTGGAAGGACGAAAAGGGGGTTAAAGCAGGGATCTCGCCTCTCTCTCTCTCTCTCTTTTTTTTAACAGCTTGCCTCCCCCCCACCACCACCCTTATATACTTTAATATCTATAGGACCAGCCAGCTCGAGATCTGCTCCTGGGTTTTTGTGTGTGGTTGTGTTTTTTTTTTAATTTTTGGTTTCCTTTTATTACTCGCTGGCTCGCTCCTTTTTTCCCCTTCTTCTTCCTTTCCCCACTTCACTGAACCGTGGGGCTCGTATGATGTCCAAGAATGTCCATTTCTGGAACTCTTAGCAATTATTATGTCGACTCCATTATAAGTCATGACAGCGAAGAACCTCCCGCGGCCAAATTCTCGTCGGGGCAGTATGCAAACTCCAGGCAAACTAGCCACAGTGAGCCCCTCGAATTCCCCTCTTGTAGTTTCCAGCCCAAATCGTCCGTTTTCAGCGCTTCGTGGACGCCTCTGACGCCACACACGGCGACCACCCTTCCTTCGGTCTATCATCCCTACATTCAGCATCAAAACCTCCCAACTTCCGAGAGTAGGTATCTACGGAGCTGGCTGGACCCAGTGCCCAGAACAGAAAACATAGCCGGGCAGGGACCAGTTAAAACAGAACCGCTGCTGGGACACCCCGGGGAGATCCGTAAACAGGGGACACAGGAGTACCATTTAGAAACTGCTGCTGGAAGGGAAGGGACCGCTTCCAATCAAAGGCCCAGCTTCGAGGACAATAAAGTTTGTGAAGGAAGCGAGGACAAAAGCAGGCCAGATCAAAGTAAGTTATAAAAAGTGAGGAAGTAAACAGCATTGGGGGGGGGGAGAAACTAAGAGGGGGTGTCGTAAAACGGCACAATGGGAGAGGGAAGCTTTAAAATATTGCAGGTCTTAAAAAGAGACCCCCCCTAACCCTCCCAAACTGAGCTGTGCTAACATAGGATGGGGCTGGGGGGGGGGAAGGAGAGGAAATGGACTCAGTTGCTCTGTTTGTTTGGATTGTTGCTGTATTGGGTTTTTAAAATATATATAGATATATATAATGTACGGGGGGGGGAGATGTGGTGCCACCTTCGCTTGAAGAAGTCCAAGGGGCTTCCCTGGTCTGCAGTCAATTCTTTTGATGCGGGGTTGGGTGAGCGAGGAAATGTGGGGTCCTTGAGCGTGTCTGGGGTGTGTGTGCGCGTGTGTGTTGCAGAAGAACTTGGAGGGGACTTGGAGAAGATATCCGGGGTGTTTGTTTTTGTTTCCTTCTCAGTTCCCAAACAGGGGATGGAGAAGGAGTTCACGCGGAGAACGAAGGGGAAGGGGGGTTTGTTGCTGTGCGCCCTTGTTTACCTCGGAGGACCCCCGGTTTCTTTCGGATGCCTTCCCCCCGTCACTCCCCGCGTCTCCGTCGTTGATCGCCCGTTCGCTTATGAAATGCGCCCGACGTGCGTATGAATATTTTAGAGCCACGGCTTGTCTCCCCCCCCCATCCCCCAACAAAACAGTAAAAAAACACCCGAGTTTAATTGGGTCTTTTATTTGCTGTGGGGTGTGTGTGTGAGAACAGACTGGCAAAGTCTTAAACTTAATCGTGTGGTGCGTTTTGCGACCGGGTAGGCGGCTAGGATCGTTTTGTCTCTCCCCCCCCCCCACCCTTCGACAAAAAAAAGCCACAAAAAAAAGCCAGGGAAAATGATGGGGGAGGGGGTGCGCGGGGGGGGGGAGATGCGGAAGCGCCATGAAATATAATGCAAAGATGCGCTGCCTCCGCCGGTAAGGGAAGGGAAGAGGGTGCCAAACGCCTTTCCCAGTGGCCTTGGAGAAGTTTGGGTTGCCAGAGGAGAAGCAGAGAGCAGGACCTCGGTGCAAGAGTCGGGGGGTGGGGAAGCGTCGCCCTTTTTTAAAAAGTGACTTGGCAGCTTAAAGGCAAAACAAACGCCACAATCCCCGGGACAGTCGCCCGCTCGGAACCTGGGAAACACCAAATCCTGCCTCTCTGGATCTCTTCTCCGTCTTCTCTCTTCAACGCATTTCTCTCTGTCTGTCTCTTTAGTCCTGTTCCCAATCCGGAACCGCAGTCGGGGACCGGGGGGCGAGTGGAAATTCACGAGGCGGATTTGTGTCATTTCGGTCCGTGCCCTTCGCGCTGGCACGGTGGGAGGGGAGGCGAAAACGCCTCGTTTTGTGCCGAGGCGCTGGGCGGCAAGCCTTGGCGGAGTGGCTCAGGCGGACGGGTGTGAAGAATTGGAAGGGGGTCTCCCCCCCACACACACACCCGGCTTATGTGCCCCTCTCCGTCTCCCCCCCCCCACCCTTCGGAACTGGAGCTGGAGAAAGAGGCTCGTGCAAGAAAAGGGCTCCGTTCTACAGGGTCAAGAAAGGCTCTCTAGAGCTGAGAACAAAAGGCTTCCTTGGCTGGAGGCGGCAGAAACGCCGAAAAGGAAAAGGAAGGAAAAAAGGAAAAGCCTGCCCCCCCCCCAAAAAAAATAACCGGGGTGTGTGGGTTTTTTTGGTGGGGGGGCATTCCGGTTTGTTTGCCCTTCGCGAGCCATTGCGCCCCTGGAAACCCAGGCCCCGTCGGAATGTCTCATTTGCAAATCTGTGCGTTGAGGGTTTCGGGTTTTGGGGGGGTTTTTTGTTTTGCTTTCCTAAGTGTAGCGTGCCAGCCGAACATAACTCTCCCCCCCCCCCTTCCTGTTTGGGGAATAGCGTGAAATGAGAGATAAACTTGTTTTCCTGTGGCAGACGTCACGTTTCCTTAAAGTGCCAAGAAATCACACAAACACGAATAGTAATAATAAAAAAGGCGCGGAGGGGGGGGGTCTTTGGTAGAGATGCTGTCTCCCCCCCTCCAAATGCCATTAAAAGATAGGTAGCGGAATTAATTATTAACGGCATGTCTCTTCTTTAATATTTAATTCTGCCTCTCAGAGCCGGTCCCCTTTCGCGGAGGAAGCGGCGGGTCGGGCGAATGGCTCACCGCTGGGCCTGCTTTTTTCCTTTTTCCTTTTTCCTTTTCAAAAACCGAATGCGATTCGTTGGAAGACCCGGGGGAAATGGCTTCTGCACCGCTGCACCTCCTTACTAGGAGAATTCAAGCTTTGTAGGGGACTCCCTCGAGCGGCGGAAGGCACCCCGGAAGTCAGGCAGGGGCTTGGCTTTCTCCTTCCTCGCGGTGTCTCTGCCCCTTGGAGGACATCGCCCTTTTTTTGTGTGTGCCAGAGAAAGCACCAATCCATACCCGATCAACCCTAACCTGGCGTTTAGAGCGCAGCGCACATGTCTCCCGGCTTCTGTTTGCCAACCACCACGACTAGCTCCCTTTTACTCCCGAGTAGTCCCATAACGATCAATAGCGTTGCGCAGAAGCCAGCGGGTTGTGGATCCCTCACCGCAGCCCCCACACCGTTCCACCAGCATCACCTTGGGATAGTTTCTCACAGCGCAGTCCTAAAAAGGCCGGCTTAGGTTTCTACTCAGGTCTATCTAGTGGGCTTTACTCCCAGGAAAGTTTTCTTCGGATGGCACCCTTAGATTGTTTTTTGGGGGTCGAAACTTATCACGGGTCGGAAAGCACAGCCCACTGGGTCGTTCCGGTGGTGGTGGCAGGAGAGCGCTGGGTGCCCCAAAATCTCTCCCCCTGGCTTTTTGGGAAGGGTCTACAAGGACCCTGATGCAGGAGACTTTTCTGGGCAACACGGAACCCACCACAGCAGGCAATTTGCCTTCCCCCTTGGTAGGGTGGAGATTATATTAAGATTTTGTTTATAAAAAAACAACCAGAGAGACAGAAGAGAGAGTGGTAAATTATTCATCATTTCTTTAATGAATTCCTTGGTGCCTACAAGCGGGAAACACATGCCAGCCATTTGCAGAACCGGCATCTGAAGTAGGGATCGTTTCCTATTACCACCACGAAGAGAAATGCATGGATTAGAATTATCACTCTTTTCTGCCTGCCATGAACCATCCCTCCCCTCGCTTCCAAAAAGATCTAGACCTCTTCCTTCTTTCCTTCCCTGACTTGGTTTCTCACAAAACATCCACACTCCTACGAACTAACTAAACGAACTAACTTCCATTAATTCACCCAATAACTGCATGGATGATCTGACATAACTCGGACCTACTGTAGGTAGATGGGTAGGTTAACCTTTACTTCCTCTTTACTCCATATTTGCATGGCAGCGCATGTGTGCATCCTTCTACCGATAGGTATACTTTGCGCAACTTTGTGTTTCCCCCCCACACACACCAGGTTTCCCACTGTAACCCTCACCCCCCTTCGTGGGTGCAACTCTCCTGCCAGGTCCCAAGTTCTTGCGGGTGGTTGGTTGGCCACCTGCACTACCTTCTATGGGCACTGACCGCCTTTCACCCTCTCTCTTCCAGGTAACCCCGCGGCCAACTGGTTACACGCCCGCTCCTCACGGAAGAAACGATGCCCCTACACTAAGTACCAGACCTTGGAACTGGAGAAGGAGTTTCTGTTCAATATGTACCTCACCAGGGACCGTAGACACGAAGTGGCCCGCCTCCTCAACCTGAGCGAAAGACAAGTCAAAATCTGGTTTCAGAATCGAAGGATGAAGATGAAGAAAATGAACAAGGAGCAGGGGAAAGAATGAAGGTTCCCTTGCCCGGCCCCTCCTCTTGTCTCCACCCCAAGTCTGAGCCCCGCTTAGAAACTGGTGTTTGTATTTATGGGCAATGTTCTTCCAAGGGTGCTGGAGGTCGGGGCGGCGCAGGTGGGGAGGCGAGGGGAGCCAAGCAGAAACAGACTGCCCGGGTCGGTCGCAAAGGCGTTCATAATGATGTTACACCTGTTCTGTTCTTTGGGGTCTTCTTTTTCCTTCTTTTAAAACTGTCCAGGAGGCAACTGCTACAGTGTGAGGAGTCGCAGTGGAGGGACTGGCAGATGACTGACCAGAGTTTCATGTTAACTCACGGGGCTCTCCCGGTGGCTTCTTGGGAGAGTCTCCCCATATTGTACTTCTTCCTCCCCCAGGCCAGACACTGTCCCAGACTAGGAGCCGGCCCGGTCCCCTGGGAAGTTCTCCTGAGCCAAGAGGAGGAAACCAAGGGAGACTGCGCTCCAGCACTGAGGCTCAGCAGGATTTCCTGGAAGACGGTGCCCTGGCCTGGAAAGGCTTTCCATAATCCCATGTTCCTGACACAGGGGACGGGCATCATATAGATCTATAGCTGGAATGAGCAGCGGAACTTGAATGGAAGCCCATTTGTTTGGCTATCTTTTTTAGAGCACCTAAGCCGATTTTCTGATAGTTGGGAGCGGAAGGGCCACCACAGCACATTTAAACACCCCCCCTTACTTTAAAAACAAGTCCATATGGGACAGCTGAGCGACTGTTCCCAACAGAAATGCCTTGACGCAATGCCTCCCAGGCCTGTGGGTAAGAGCCCCTTGGCTCCAAGCAAAACGGGGTCCTCTTCTTCTCCCCCTCATTTGAACAGGCTTGCTCAGGAATCCTTAAGATACCCCATAAATTGGTCCTGACTTCTAAGGGGCAAGGCAGGACATTTCTCCTCCTCCTGCTCCCACAGATTGGCAAGAGGGGAGTGGAGATGGAGGAGAGATCGCCACCTTTGTCCTAGTGCCGAGGATGGGGGTGCCCGCGAGTTCCTAGTGTTCCACTGTTTATAATTGATTGGGGACAACCAGGATTCAGAAAACCAGACAAGTGCCAAGCATGGTTTGCGGAACTTCTCTGGACCTTTCTCCTTCTCCTCCTCCTTCACCCAGGTTTCTGCGGAGAAGTTTTGATACTTGAACGTTCTAGAGATATTTCCGTCTGTGGCCCCGTGGCTCCTAGAGGACATAGCCATCTTCCGTGTCCACTGGAAAACCAAGTTTTGAATGGCATCAAAGTTCTTGATGGCCCCTCTTATGTGTGTTCATGTAACAGACAGACATCCGCATTGTTTACAAAAGTCTCCTGATTTCATACTGGGAAGGCTGGGAAGATTCTCAACTTTGAAAGCTCTGGTGGGGTCTCATACGTCAGCTCTCCTGTCGACTCACGCCACATAGGATTCTGTTGTCCTTATGACTGTTTCTATTTAGCTTCCCTCCCCCCTCCCCTTCATCGGTGGGACTTGGGGGGGGGAAATAGGTAGTTAAGTAACTTAGTACAAAGTGATCAGACGTTGTGTTTATTTTTTAAGGAAAATTCCGTGTTCGTGACTGTGCTTTTGTGAACGTTCCGCTAGTTTTTTCCTGTGGCTTTTTAGGACTATAAAAATGGGGTCTATACCTGTTAGTTGCAGAGCTGGCGGGATATACATGTATATAATTTATCTCCCTCCCCTTTCCTGTACTCCCACACTTAAACTACCAATATGTTTCTAGAAGTAACACTGTATGTACTGACAATTTTTTGGTAACAAAACGGAAGAGGGGTGGGGAACACAAGAGATAGATGAAATTTAATGTCTCTCTTTCAGGTAATTTCTGGGCAAAGCGGTTCCAACGGAGAGATCTAATTTCATAGAATGTTGTATAAGATTTTTATACCATTTCTGCCTGAGGATAAGCCCTTATTCTGTAGAGATTTGATAGGCACATTTTGATCCTTGGAGGGACAGCCTTGCGGTTTTGCAGGATTCTCCGAGGATGGGGGGGAAACAAATCTTTTAGGATAGACTTCGGTGTAAAATATTCAGGATTTTTTTCTTTAAAAAAGAAAAAATAGGAGGTTTGATGACTTTCCTCAATACCCGTGGGGTTATTTCCTATCCCGAGCAAGATTTCTTTCTTTTTTAATAGGATACCAGGCAAACAGTAAACGAAGTGCTTTTCTGTAATAGCTCCAAACCTTAACTCTAGCATGTGGCTCAAATTTAGTCAAACTTCACCTTGTCTCACCACGTCAATTTCGCAAACGGAATTTCCGAGGAAGCCTCCTGTCCCCTCCCCACCTCACCCTCCCAGTAAAAAATAAACATGATTTTAAAAAACACTGTTTGAACAGGGCCTTCTCTTGCGTCGTTCGGGGTTTGGGGGAGATTCTCTGGTTTGTCTGCATTTCGTTTCTCGTCGGTCCTCCAACCAGGTGTTCCACCCGCGTGGAACAGACGGCGCAAAACTGGTCCGGAGACCTTTCCAAGCGTGAGGTGCACGTTCTGTAAAGAAAAATTCTTTCCGTAAATCTCTTCACTCTAGCCACAGACATACTCCTACGCCCTAGGAGTGAAGACAAGAAATCTTGTTTTAGAAACCACTTTCTGTGTGTGTGCTAAAGCATGGATTAAAAATAAAATAAATTAGTTGATTTCGTTTAAAAGGGGGAGGGATTAAAAACAAAACAAAACCTTCGTTGTTTCTTCCATTCTATAAAGCCAAAATGTTTTTTTGTTCACCCTACAGTTGTTTAATGGCTTAGCAGACAAATCGATCGTTTGTGGGGGGAAACGTCTTCAACCCCACTCGCATCTGGTGTGATTCTGCTTCTACTAGGGCCTCAGACATCTTTGCAGTTGTATTCTCTTTTTTGGGGGGGGGCTCTTTTAGAGTGCATTATAAAGGTTTTGGAAGGCTTTCTTTTTCTTTGGTGCGGAATGGTTTCTTTTTTACTTAAAAAAAAAGTCAAGGTTGGGGGAAGAGTCTTAAGAATTCATTTCCTGTGTATTTCTGTCGCTTCCGCGTTAAGCTCGGCCGCATCCCTAAATCCATTCAGCAAAACAGAAATAAAAGCGGTTTCCCCGTCTTTTCATTTGTGACCAAAGGAGTCTTTTATTCACGGAAGGGACCCTTATCATAAAGGAACGGGACGGAAAAAAGGAATGGGTAGATGGATGGATGAACCCAAGTGGGTAAATGTTGTGTTTACACACCGCGAGCCGAGGGACATCGACATAGGATCCAGAGACGGTGGAGAAACTGAAACGTTCCTGTTCCGCTTCCCAGAAGGATGACGAGTCCGATCCCTCGACCCGCCTCTCTCTCTCTTTAACCCAAGGAATCATGCCCATCGTGGCAATATTCAGAAAGCTCTCTTGAGATCCTGCTTCCAGAGAAATCCTCTTGCACTTTTCGACACAACCTTGTGCTTTAGACAAAAGCTTTTCCTTCCGCGTTTATTTCCAGGGTCCGGTGTCAAAGCAAGCAGACATCAGCGGGGTTCTTTAAGGGGGGGGGAGTAAATAATTGGCTCCAGGTTTTTAGAAGGAGCCACCTTCGTTCAAAATCCCCCTTTCTTTTGGTCAAACCGGGGCAAGGGAGGCGAAGAATGTTTGGCTCTTACCAGAGAAGAAGCCGAAGAAAGTAGGCTTGTCATAAAAGAGAGAGAGAGAGAGAGAGGAAAACTCTGCGCAGTGGGCTGCCATAAAAGAATATGACCGCCATAAAACTTTATAGGGTATAAATTTCTGAAGGTTAAGGAACTAAGCAACTGTAAAGCAAACAACGGTCGAAAACTTTCAGAAGCTCCTAAATTACTAGACTGTCTTTGAGGGGGGGCGGGGGGCGGCGGCAGCGGTGCCGGGAACACATTTCTGGTTCACCCAAATTCTTTAAAAATTCTGGTTCATCCAAAAATTCTGGTTCACCCAAATTCTTTAATTTAAAAATAACACTTGGAGGATAAAGTCTATTCCGTCTGGTGCCTCCTGTGAATATCCAGCGCTCCCTGGTGCCGCCTCCTCTGGCTTTGTGTTCCTTATCACTACCAAGCCGTCCGCATCCTCGACCATCCGCTCACAACTACACACACACACACACACACACACAAACGCTCACACTACACCAGATACACAAACACACACACACACAAAGTTCTGGCGAGACGTCTGGGCTTCGAAAGCCTTTTCTCCCCTCTCTTAAAAATCTGTTTACAACCCAAGCTTTCCCCCTTCCAGAGGAGAATGTGGCAATTGTTTAGTCTCGGACACCCCCCCCTTTTCTTTCTTTCTTTCTTTCTTTTTTTTAAAAAAACAACAATGGTGGTTTTTCAAAAGCGGGAGCCTTTTCTCTAGAAGTGTCTTGAAAAGGACTGGTTGGAAAGTCACACAGATAAGCCATCGGGTGACTTCTGGAATGGAGGCCGGGACTTCCCCTTCAAATCACCACCGCATACGAATCCTAATCATTTCATAAATGATTTATCCACAATGCAACAATGCTTGGAAACAAACACAAAGGGAGAGAAAGAGATCCATAAAGGCGCACGCACGCACGCGCGCATCAAGTCGAACTAACCCCCATCTCTGTTTATTAGCCCTGTATGTTGTTTTTTTTAAGTGGACGTCTTACTTCGAACGGTCATTAGATGGCGCTATTACTCCACTTTTGAAATCAAAGCTCCAAACTCT